AGAATCACACTGACAACAACAACAATTTGTSCAGAGTGACTTTCAAGAAAAATACCTGTTTTTCTTAATTGAATTTCGACTTTTCATAATAACGACAATGAGTACAAAATAATGTAGAATGTCTGCCAAAGAAGAAAACAGTAAATAATATTGCCAAGAGGAGGGAGCTTATGGGGGTTTAACATGCCGTGCTTCCATAGAAGAAAAATGAAAACATGTTTTTAAAGACTGAAAATGGAGAAAAGTATAGCTAATGGGCAATTAGAAGTGTGGCAGAAAAACGCAAGAAACTCCAAAGTAGCGACAAATTTGTAGCAAAGCAAAAGAAGAATAAAAATAAAAGAAACCAAATACAATGGAAAGGCGAAAAGTGGCAAATATGACCGTGAGCTAATTGGAAGGAATGTAAGTGTGGCAAGCACAAGTATGAGAGTATGTGCTTCCGACTGTCTGCTGCCGTGCCAGTTGTGGGTTGAGTTAGAATCAGCACCCAAAAGTCTATGCCAATAAGAATGATATACAATTGCTGTAAAGACAAAGAAAAGGTAGAGACAATGGCAGAAGAAATACGAAATTTTTGTGGCAACGCCAGCAGCGAAGAAGAATTTGTGTAGAGCAACATATAGAACCGGCAAAATTAGTGAAAGAGAGAGCGCGCCGCGACACAGACTGGACAAGAACGGACAGTTGGATTGGCGTAGAGAAGGCTAGGCGAAGACAAGCCAACTGCGAAAGGTAAGCAATGGACAAAAATACCTGAGAAAGATGTAGGTATGGAGGAGTAAGAAGAAAAAGCGAAAGATTGCGCTACAAAGGGAGCCAAGTGCGGCTGTATGCGTGTGTGGCATGTTCGACTCAAGAGACGGAAGAAGCAGCAGTAAGAGAAATAGGCTTAATAATGCTTGAATATTGAAAAAAACAAAGAAGAGGAAAAATAAAAACATAAAAAGGTTGAAAGAATAATAAAGAAAAAGCATTAAAAGTAAAATACAACAACAAAAAGCAGCAAGCAAAAATGAGATCAGGAAAAATATGCAGAAAAATATCATAAATTCTTGCTCGTTGGCTTAACTGGTCATGCGAGTGGCATTGTTGTTGTAGAAGTTGTTTTTGTTGTTGTTGCTGTGGGTGCTGCTCACTTAAGCACTTATTCTCAGCAGCGCCACAACAGCATAAACGCAAAACGGTGAGAGCGCGGCTGCAGCATGTCATAAGAGAAGGTGGCAGCGCCAAACGAAAACGCAAAGAAAAAAAAAAACCAAAAACAAAAACAAATCAATAATGTAAAGCAAGAAAATAAAGAAATGTTGATTGGAAAAAAGTTGCAGTTGAAGAATTTTTATGCACGGCTGTTGCACACACACAAATGTACCTAATTGTACCCTCATTGTTGTAAATTTTTACAGCTGAGCTGTTGTTATTGTTGTTACCACTCGTAGGCTGCATGTTGCATGTATACATACATGCCTGTACATGTACATGTGTATGTATGCGCACAGTTTCTTTTTGTTTTGTTTATATTTACACTTGCTGTTGCCTTTGGCCCTATGGCGCAGGGGTGTACAGGCATGCGTGCGCGCACAAATTACTTGGCTTGACTCACTGACTGACTGACTGCCTGTTGCCTGCCTTGAGTTGTAATTATTTGGCTGTCGTTTGTGACTGCGCATGCGCGCCCTTGCCAAATAGGTGAATCAATAGGTTGATTTGTTCTCCGCTTCTTTTGCTTTAGTTTTTGTAGCTTACTAAGCAGTGAGTTATGATCGCGTATTAGTAAATGCGTGCGCAGACGCCCCTGCCTATGAAATTATACGTGTGCGGCGATTTAAATTTATAAATTACAAGCGTGCAGCTACTTGCTTACACGAGCATGCGAAGAGCGGTAGTGAACGTGTTCTATTGTTGCCACAGCGTTTCATTTTTTGTTTGTAATTTTCACCATGAAGCCGGCATGAGATAATATGCAACAGAGCTGTGCAATTTTTTGAAATTTAATAAATTTTTTATTTAATGAAAATGGTGATTGTGTTTGGCGGTGTTGTAAGTCAAAAACTTGATAAAATGTATGTATATCCAACTTACTCATTCTCATTCCAAGTACCCATAAATCATACAAAAACTAACCTTAAGTTTTAAACCAGTTGTCTTCGCCACCTAAATAACTTACTAATCCTAACTGTTCGGCATTCCTACTAGTGGAGATCACAAAGCTTACATCTAAATGTCCATCTGTCCAGCTAATCCCCATTCCCTCAAAGTTTCTGATGTTCGAATATATTGGAGATTTGGCAATGACATGTTTCCAATTCTCATTGCGGACTCCACATAAGTTTCTCTGAGGCAGAAAGGCAATCAAAGGTCATTCGCCAGCAATTAGGTAGCCCAAGCTCAGACAGTATCTGAAATCTGGGTTTTCTTCTACAAACCCAACATCCCGAATGCACTCGTAAGTCACCACTCCTACCCGCGCCCAATGGTGGACAATTTCAAAAATCGCCCACTGGCTGTTTTACTTCAATCTGTAAACGGCCTTTAACTAGACGAAGAAGGTCATCAGCATATGCAGACCATTTACAGAGTGGTTCCATATATATCGACTACAGATAGACCCCTGGGGCCAGCCACTCCGATCATATATGCCAAGGACATAATTGTTGACGTCTCCCTAAAAGCGTTCTGAGCATCCGTCCGTTCCTGAACCCTAGATAATGTTTATTAAGAATTTCGGCTGGACGAGCTTTGCCAAGGATAAGCAGTTTAGCAGTTGTTTTAAGTTCTACTTTACTGATGTACTCCGCTGTGAACGGGGTACTAGCTCATCGATATTACAGTTTACAGTGATTCCACTATCAGCACACGCCAACCGAGTCTGATGATGTAGTAATATGATGCTATTTGAAAGAAGCTGCACTCTGGAGAAGTAAATTTAACTTTGATGGTCGTTTGGTTCAGTTTTTCCATCGTTTGCGCTTTTAAGTTGCCATCACATGTTTCCTCAGGGATCTATTCTCGAGACCCCGTGCTACCCATAAACTTGGCAAAAGTTCCTTTATTTGGTTTCTGTCGGTGGATTCTAATCGGCTACCCCTAACATAGCGCTCCGCACGACGATAAACCATGCTCAGCCGGTAGTGATATCACCCACTCGAAAGACTATCCAGTATCATTCAGGTCGATTCCGACCTTCTTTCTTCCTCATCCTTATTTAAATTACTGCCTTGTTCATGGTTTTAGGGCCTCACTCAGAGCTCCACCCACGAGGCCAACGCGAAGATTGGCGGACGCTCCTATGTGGCAATGCGTTTAGAGGTAGCCAGACAAAAGAAGGAGTCAACTCAACTTATATCTACCATACTTATTGATGATGGAAGGGAACGTCCTTCGGGACCGACCAGGGTAATAATGGGACGGAGGCAGACTTGACTAGGAGTAAATATTGATAAAAATAATCCAAAAGACCAGATATTGAGAATATATTAGAAGGACTTCAAAGTGATTGCCTGAAATAAGTCTTATAATGTTGATGTAAGACAACTAATCAAGCAAATCAAGCCGGTATATTACAGCAGGATGCAATTTGAACTCCAGTTGAGAACTCATATTGAGCATGAAAGGTGAGCATGACCCCAACAACAATGATTCCTGAGAGATATTACGATATGATTTTAATAAGGCATGCGACTTTTAAGAACTAAATAAACTAATTATATGTATTATAAATAAAGTAGAATAATCCGTACATATGTATATTATGTTTGCAGCCAGTCTAGTACACAAGTAGCCACAGCATAAACGAGATTTGAGTTTCTTCCCAGCACTTAGCACTTGGTCACGCCGTAAACCAGTCACATAGAAATAAAACTCACTCTTACACATTCGAGTGTGACTCAAGAGCGACGTTATCGCTTACTTGGAGAGCGTGAGAGTATCTTGTAGATACTTGGCAGTATTCTCACTTAACTATACGCCTATAAGCAAGTGGTGAGCACCTCACACATACAGCAACAGGTATTTAAGTCTGTCTGCCTTTAGTTGCGCAGGCACTCAGCACCAACTCAGCTAACTTTATGGGATTTCTTAGGGCTCTAATGGCCGGCAACTCACTTGCGCTACGTTCAGTCGTGTTTCGTGCACTTCGGTGTCTGAGTCGTACCGTTTGGCGTCGCGTTTCGTAAGTGTCACCCGTTTTCGTTTTTATGATTTCAGTGCCTTCACAGTTACTTTGGTTTTGTTGTTGTGCGTGTAATCAGTTAATGTGCGCGCATACTGGTTCCCGGTGTGGAAGAGGATATTTCGTGTAAAGCAAAAACGAATTTCGGTGCGCGCTGTGGATTAACGGTTTAAATACGAAAATTTTCTAAGCACTTTGCTCGCTTAGGCTGAGGGTGCATGCGTGTGAGGGGCTTGCGAATTTTTCGCCACTCAGCGGCTCACTTTTCACCCAAGTTCTGTGCAATTTTCGCGTTTTTGTTGTTGGAAAACACGTTTTCCTGCGCTCGCGCAAAAATCAGCAAATCAACCAACTCGTTAGCAAAACGTAACACCTAAAGTCTCCGTGGTCCACGTTTTAATACTTCGCGCACACACACGTATGTGAAATGTAAGTGTATATTGGTGGCTCAATGCAACACTGCCGCACCGGCTAAATAACGCGCGCCAGTGTGCGCTAAGAGCGCTCGGTGTCTGCGTGTTGCACCTGAGTGTGTGCTAGTGAGTGTGTGTTTTGCGCTCTCCTCTTGCTCTGCTGATCGAGTGTGATTTTTTCTTAATTCCTTGTTGTTGTTGTTCGGCTGCTTGTGCACTGCCAATGGCCAAAGTCTTGTGCGCGTTTCAGTGTTTTTGTTTTTCTTACGTTTTCTTGCCGTCCGCGCTGAGCAAAATTGACTGCTGAGCGACTTGTTGCTGCGGCGATGGGGACTGGCTGATGGTCAAGCAGCACCGCATTCAGGTCGGGTCGTTTGGCAAGCTATTGGCGCTCCACAGTTGCCGTTACGGAGCGCGCCGCTAAAGTACGCGAAAAGTTCCTTGAGCGCAAGTCTGCAAATGTGGAAATAAATATTCAATTGTCTTTATTGGAAAACTATTTTTCTCTGTGTAAGAACCAAAATAAGTGTAAAGAACCGCAGCTGCCAACAACAATTGCGGCGTGTTGGCTTAAGCGGCTTGTTAGAATTGTGCTTAGTGTAAACTTTACAGCGGCGTGATCCTTTCTCGGCACAAGCGCACAAAGTGTGTGCGGCGTTAAGGGGGCGAAATGCAAAAAATACATATGTACATGTGTGCAGTGAACAAGTTTGTGCAAAAATCGCAAAGATAAAGTGCATAAGAAGGCCTTAAGTGTAGATAAAGGTGTTTCTGGTGTCATAAACAAAAGCAAAATATGCCGTTATATCAGCGAAATTGAAAAGTAAATAAAATAAAATTATGTAATGTGTGTGTAAATATGTATGATATGAATTACAATAATAAGATTGTTTGGTGTACTGGCTGTAAAACATTAAGAACGCGGTAATTTAAACAACTTCAGGTAAATAGAAATATATATTATTATATGTTTACAAATAATGTGTGATAAGTGGGTACTTCGTAATGAGGCAAAACAATTTAAGAATGTCGGCCAAATGAGTCACTAAACGATATATAACTGCGACGAAAAGAAAGTGCACTGAGATTAAAGTAAAAAAATTGTTCTTATTTTTGAAAAAAAAGTTGTATATAATAAAATGGAAATTTAAAAATAAAAAAATATTTGAAAACGATAATAAAATGAAAGTAACAAGAAAAGTCACAATAAAAGGAATGGTTAAAAATGTTTGTTAAAAATAAAGTATTGAAAAAAGAATAGAAATAAATAGAATAAAAGGAATAAAAAAGTTCAAATAATATTATTATTATAGGAAAAAATAACAAAAATTTATTGAGTGAAATAGTAAGTACCTTCTTAAAGGATTTAATTGGTATAAAAGTTAACAAAAACCAACTAAAAAGTGATAAACAAGATTATGATAGATGATGAAAATATAATGCAATAATAATATAATTGATGATTTATTTA